TGTATGTATGTATGTAGTGGGGCTTAAATATGCGGTTTCCCCCTTTGGCTTATAATGAATCATATATATATATATATATATATATATATATATTCACATAGAAGAATTTACTCATTACTAGTTACTACCAATAATGTTGTGCAACTTTTATGTGTTGTTGTTTCCGGCTTCACGGGAAGATAAGGTGCATTAATATTATTAGGACTTAGGACCAATGGTTTTCCATGTCAGTAATTATAGTGGAGAAAATAGTAGTCTCCATTTTGAATGTACTAGCTTACTTTTTTTCTATTCACATTAATTATATACTTGGATATTTCTCTGTCATTTTCCATTAATAATTCATAGGATTAGAAGTAATTTTATTAGTTATAGATATGGTTATGCAACTATTGAAAATAAGTAAATAAAGTTATATTTTCTTTATCACAAAAGTCCCTTATTTTTGCTATTTCATTTAAATATATGTGATCACTTTTTAATGACAAGCTACATAATTATTTAAGTCAGAAATAGAAAACATCAAATTCAATTCATGTTCGGCTTATATGAATCGGAACAATATTTCTCCCTTTATGAGCTAGTTTTTGAGGTTGAGTTAGCCACATATGTATGTTATATCTTTACAATTATTGCAATGGACATTGCTAGGATTACTTACTAAGTGAAATGTAGTAGGTTTGTCAAAAGAAAAGTTGCATTACAAATGTGCACAATAGCAAGAGCTAAGGAAGGGCCTTGAGAGTAGTGTGTCTTGTTTCTTGGTATTGCCTATTGGCTAGGAGACTATCTGAAATTGACTTCTGAACTGACTTGATTGTGAATTTGTGATCTACTACATACATATATTCATTAACAACCACTAATATTAGTGGTTATTCCCCTGTTGGAGGGATTGTGGGCATAACTAGTCATTCAGACGATATGATTTAATCTTGCCTTGCAACTTGACGACAGGGTTATTCCTGTAGTGGAATAGATAAGATTCGTTCACTCTTAATCATATGTCTGGAGTTTAAATTTGAAAATATTGAAGAAATTACAACCTTATATGAAGGCGTTCATCTTAGATAGGTCTTAGGTGATTGAGGCCTAAAATATAAATTAATTGAGTCAGTGAATTTTGAAATTATTCAAAACAAAGGATTATTCGTTGCTAAGAATTTTCACCGGATGTCCCTTCTTTTCTTCCTCCTCGGACCTTTTTCTTCTTGCAATAAATTATGAGCACACAATTATTACTAGAATTGAAAACAAAAAAAAAAATTGAAATTTTTGGTATAGAATATTGAAGGCCCATTGTTTTTATATGGCTAGAATTGAGCGGCTAATATTCAATTGAGCTTATATTGTTTTCTCCTAATGATTTAAATTTGTATGATTGAAAAGAATCGAAGACACCAGCCATTGTTGGGTCTTTTTTGAGTTTGAATAAAAACTTATTTCAAGAAAGTGGGGTTGGGACAAGGAAACATTTTCAATTTTCTCATGTTTAGTTAGCTTAAATATTTTGGAAAATGTTTTCTTACTTAATTTATTTTTCTCTAATTTAAGAAAAATAATTTACCTCCAAAAAGTAAGAAAAACATTTTTCAAAAATTCTTTCTCAATCACACACCTCAACTTTTTAGCCTAACTCAAGTCTAAGGTACTTAGTACCGATATGAATTCGGAATTCGACTCCTCACTTTTATTCGGGACCTGACACCTGACTTTTGATTCGGGTCCCAGGTCACGAGTCGAGTGTCCAAGTTGTGTTTAGGTTTGGAATATGGGTCCCATGTCGGGTGTCGTGGTCGGATCCTTTTTCGAAAGTCAGGTCCCAATTTAGTTGTCTGGTCCCAATTCGGGTGTACGAATCGGGTCCCGAATTAGTTTTCTGAGTTAAGTGTCGATGTCGGGGTTAGGATCAAATCTAGTTTGAATGTCGGGTTTTAGGTCAAGATTCAGGGTCATATCCTGGGTCTGGTGTCCCATACTGATTGTCGTTATCATGTCTAGGTTCAGATGTCGGGGTCGAGATCGAATTTCGGGTCGAAAGTTGAGGTTAGGTCCTAGGTCCAGTGTCGGGGTTGAATCCCAAAGCAATCGTCTGGTTCGTATTCTAGTTCAAATGTCGAGGTCGAGGTAAGGGTAGAGTCCCAGTTTGAATGTCAGGTCCCGAATCAAGAGTCGAGGTCAAGTCTTGGATCGGGTGTTGGGGTTGGATTTCGTATTGGTAGTCAGGGTTGTGTTCCAACTTGGGGTCGGGTCTCGAATTGAGTATCGGGGTTGATTTCCAGGTCAGAAACTATATTCCTAAACAGTATTTTCTATTCTCAAACAAAAAATAAAAGATATTCTCTGGAATTTATTTTTCAATTCACCAACCAAACACTAGAAAATATTTTTCGAAAAATAGTTTTACACTCACCAATCAAACATAAAAAAATAAGTTAAAAACCAACTTATTATCCAATTAAGAAAATATTTTTTAGAAAAACATTTTCCATGGAAAACATCTTCCTTTAATTTCTTCCAAACACATTAAGTTGTGAACCTATTAATTTTCGAAGGCTTGAGTTGTATTTAACAATATTTGGGAATTGTTGAATTTGATATTACAACTGTGAATATCAAATTTGGAGTCATTTAGAATTGATTTGAATCATTTTAAAAGTAAAACATGACGCCAAAAATTTTACAACCAACAATTATGACGATCATCAAGGATTTGGGGACAAGTTATGGATGATTCATTAGGATTAATTGCCAAATTTTAGATCCATAATTGAGCTTTGCGATCTTGACGAATTTTAAAATTTGTGATAAAACAAGTTTTATCTATTAATAAAATGAAAATTCTTGCCATCCATCGTGTTTAAATATGTCGTTATGTTCTAAGTTCTAACCACCAATGATGAAACTATTCTTGTAATTTTTTTAAAATGAGATTAAAATTTGAACACTAGCATTAAAAGATCCATTTTATACAAGTCGTTGCACAACTTCGACAAAGACAGAGAAATATTGAAGTTTCTCAGCCACTGTGTTAAGTTACATAAGGGTTTTATACAATTTTATCTAAAATTTTATATTATCAAATAAAATTGACGTAGAATAATATGTTATTCTTTGTAGTAAATTTGATTGTTATGATAATCTCAAAATGAAAAATAACTTGTTATAACTAATTAAATTAAGGGTCGTTTGGTAGCTAAAAAGAAGCAACTTATTCATATATGAAATTTTGTATAAGCTTTACAACATTGGGTAGTTATATAATTAGAAAATAAGTTATTCATATATAAAACTCATATAACGTTTGTTTTGCAATTCACAATCCCATATAACTAATTCATGTATAGATTATAAGGATATTTGTGTATTATGTTATACGGGATAGAAGATGAATATAATGTGACTACCAAAACAACTCCGATGTATATTATATTGCTTAAAATCTTCATTTAATTCATACTTGTAGAATAAGAAGATCAAGGATAGAAAAAAAGAGAAAGGAGATCTATTGATTTGTCGTATATACGTATATAATATTCAAGTGTGGTTTACGCTGTTGTAGTGGGATTTGAAAGAGGTATACCAATTAGAATGGAGATAAGTTGCTATATTTAATTTGTGTGACCAACTACGTACTACTATATATGATGATGAAATATTGTTGGGCTTCCTATGTATATTTTGATTCTTTTTGCATTTCCTCTTTTTTTTTCCCATCATCTTCTTGGTCAACAATTCATGATTGAATCTATGGAATCTGAGTGAATGGTGGGGATATTCTTTTAACATCATTTGAATTCAGAAATTTAAGTCTGAGTGATCAGTTTTTTTTATTATTATATATATATTTGGATACCATTATTAAGGAAAAAGAAATATGAATTGAACTTAAGGGTATTTAGATTGACTTTTTAAAAAGCTAAAAGTCATATATCTTAACTCGTAAACACTTAAAATAAGTCAATTCAAACACTATTTTACACATCTTTCCGATCATTTAATCTTAATTGTCCTGTTCCTACGTATGAAAGAATATGTATGTAACTTGTAAGTGGTGCCGATGATGTTTCAATAATGATTTTCATAGATTAAATTATGACCGCCTATTAAACATCTCTGATAGTAGATTTTAATTTGAAGGCGAATTAAAATTCTGTTGGGCTAACTAAAAACATACCTAAATGAAGTATGGTAGGTAGAATACTCACGAATTATGAAAGAGCACACCTAACGTGGTTGCTACTTCACAACTAAAACGTGAATCCATCTTTACTTGCAACATTTTAAATAAGTAATCTTTAGGCTCATTCAATAAAAAGAATTAATTAAAAAAATTATATTTATTATATAACAAAATTTTGTACCTCGTCAAAAGTAAAATAAAGACCAGAGTTAATTATCCTATAATGTGATGCCTTGTTCTTCCCTTTTCTCTTAATTAATTTTGTCCTTATATATATATTTTATAGTTAAAAATTATTCTCAGGATCCCTAAATAATTGAAAAGGAACTTTGTGGTGAAATTTTAACCGAGCTAAAGTGAATGACAAAAGTTTGGATATTTACTTACTGAAGTTGTACTAATATTTAGGCAGAATTAATTAAATGATGCCCCAAAATTGTCTCCAAGTGTTTGATGTCTTCAATTTCCTATGTACATCTTTTTCTTAAATTTTATTTTAAATATTTGATTGTAAATTATATAAATAGTATATTGTTAATTTATAGTGAAGAAAAGTGATTTTGGTAGGATATATATATATATATATATATATATTTCATTGTTATCTTAAAAGAACAAAAGTGACTTTGGTAGAATATTCTCATGAATTTCTTATCCAAAAAATATAACTTTAGTAGAATATTCTGATCGACCATTCAAAGAAATAGGTAAAGTAACTAAAAGAATTTTACATCAGAGGGATAATATAATATAATATAATATAATATAATATAATGATAGGGACAAGTATATATGGTCCATGACACCTAGTTGTACTGTAGCACCAATATATTGCCTACATATAAGCCACCTCCTCTGCTTCATTTCTTCAACTAATTCATTATATTTATGTAATGGAAGCTAACAATGATTACACACAAGATGGCACCGTTGATCTTCGTGGTCATCCTGTCTTTGCCAACAAAACTGGCAAATGGAAAGCTTGTTCTTTCCTTGTAGGTAATTAAACCTCCTTCTCTATGATTATTCATATATGTTGTTAGTTGTTACATCTCAACCGGTGCCATAGCCATAAAATAACACTATACTAAAAGTTTTCTTTATATAAAGGGGATTCAAACGCATGTTATATATAATTTGTTTATCAATATATAGTTTTCTGATATAGAGAATACTACTCCACCACTAATCTCGATCGGCTAATGACCAACTCAACTACTTGAGATTGTCGAATGAAAAACGTATATGGAAGGGTGGCATATTGATAAAATAGAAAAGATTAGCATGGTTCTTACGCACACAAATTAAATCAAGAATTGGTCCATGGAATATATATTTGATTGTAATTGTATGAACGATGAAGTGCAGGTTATGAAGCATTTGAGAGAATGGCTTTCTATGGAATAGCTTCAAACCTAGTGGTGTATTTAACAAGCCAACTACATGAAGACACAGTTTCATCAGTTAGAAATGTGAATAATTGGTCTGGATCTGTTTGGATTACACCACTTCTTGGTGCTTATGTTGCTGACACTTACTTGGGCCGCTTCTGGACTTTCACATTCTCTTCACTTATTTACGTCATGGTAAGAAAATACATGAATTTCCATCAAAAGATACTTATCGACTTAATATAATCATATGATCTAGCTACCATAATGCTGTGGGTTCTCGAAAACCTCCACCCGCTACTATAGATCCACCCCTGGCTTATGAGTATCTCCTTTCAGTCACGTGAGTGATAGATACGCTTTTTAATTTGTCATTCTTTAGCTAAGAACCTACAAAAGGGACCTTTCACATGATTTAATCCAACATCTAAATATATATAAAATGCACCACTAACGGTTATCTTTTATTGCCCTACATACAATGCACTATAATTACTCAACCATCCATGGCAATTAATTGTTGGGAGGATTTTATTTTTTTTCAGTAGGGCCTGTAAACAATTCCATTTTCTCTGGCTAGAAAATGACCTGTGTCTAAGTTAAAACCACATATATAATTGGTGCTTTGCCCTAGCCGTGCACCACTAACTATTTTATCATATTTAATTTTTGAATAATTAAATATATGAGAGTTGAGTGTAATTTATTAAATGCTCACTTAAATTTTAATTGATTGATAATGAGATATATGCTGCAATAATACAGCCAGCTGACATAACAATGGGACGGATCCACTAATTCTTGATCTTATATAACAACCTTTTCTCTCCCTTTTAAGGGACTTTGGACTAATATTTTCTCCGTTCTAATTTAATTTTTGGTCTTAAATAAGTCATAAATGTTTGTGTGACTATAAATCATCTTGAAGGGAATTTTTCCATTGTTATTATTTATAGAAATATGTTATTCTTTATAGATCGACTAAAAAGAAAAGTATGTCATATAATGTTGGGACGTGAATACTACAATATGTAAAAGGAGAACACTACGGTCTAATTATTGATGTGTAACTCTACGGACGTAAATAATAGTATAAACTTTGGTTTCTAAAAAAAATATAAATTTCATATAATTAATGCAGTATTTGGTATCTGCTAATAAACTCTATATTAATTATTTTCTATTTTTTATTTATTTAAAATAAAATAAAATTGGGGTAGTGGAAGGGAAAATTGGGAGGGGTTTACAATGTGGGAATCAAGGCTTCACTAAGGTAGAAGTTCATATAGCCAACCAACAAAGCTCCTCTATATTAATTACTCCATATAACTTACACATAATATCTAAAAATAAAGTATCTTTGTAGTAGACAATCTCGATACTATAGTCCACATATTATTGTTAATTGAATGACAATCCTTTCATTTTTAATACTCACATAATGCAAGTACAACTAGTATGTGAATCATATAGGAAATTTGATTTTATCATTCTTTACAAATTTGTTTTTAATTTTATGTCTTCTTAAAAATAGATTATCATGTTCACATATGCATAAAAGATTTAAATATATTATTTTCTTTTATTCAATTGGTAAATAATCATAAAAAATCACTTTCTCGAACATACGATGGGAAAGTGCTAGAACTAGTTTGAAATTTAAATTAATTGCCACCTGTATTTTTGTGCCTGATACATAAGTGGCTAATTTAGTGATCAATTTTAGATGAGAATGAGCTCTGCTGGAGTGAAAACGAGATAACTTTCTACTTCAATTTCAGAGTTTCGGTTTCGTCACCAGTCAAGTTTTGTCACTTTTAGTGCGATAGTGACTTAAATTTATTTTCAATTTTAAATTTTGTCATTTGGTTAGTACTACTTTCTCCATCTCATATTAATTGATCTATCTTACTAAAAATATATATCCATCCTAAATTACTTATCCACTTACTTTATCAAAATAAAGTTGATTAAAAATATTTCATTTTACCCCAACAATTAATACTTATCTTTTTTCAAGAGTTCATTAATTATTTTGTATCTATCATATTCATGCCCTATGCTATTAAGCATTTGTTCACAAATTATACATCAATATATGGATATAAAAGGTAAATTAGTAAAATTAATCATCTTAGTTATAATCTCTTGAGTACCGTGTAAAATGAAAAATAATCAACTTATATGAAATGGAGAGAATACTAGCTAGCTAGGATCCATATTTAATTACTTACTTATTTTCTCATTAATTATAAGAAAATGGACTGATGTAACTATAATTTTCCACCAGGGAATGGTCCTTTTGACAATGGCCGTATCAATTAAATTCTTGAAGCCAAGTTGTGAAAATGGAGTATGCAACAAAGCTTCAACATCTCAAATTGCTTTCTTCTATGCATCCTTGTACATAATAGCCATTGGTGCTGGTGGAACTAAGCCTAATATATCCACATTTGGTGCTGACCAATTCGACGATTTTAATCCACATGAAAAAAAACTTAAAGTTTCCTTCTTCAATTGGTGGATGTTTAGCACATTTGGTGGTGCTTTACTTGCTACAATTGGACTTGTTTACATACAAGAAAACATGAGTTGGGGATTAGGTTATGGAATTCCTACTGTTGGATTAATATTTTCACTAATCATTTTCTACATTGGAACACCAACTTACAGGCATAAAGTTAGAAAGTCTCAACATCCTGCTAAGGACCTACTTCGTGTTCCTATTGTTGCTTTTGCCAACAGGAAAATTGAACTACCTAATGATCCTTCACAACTTCATGAACTTGATATGCAATATTATTTCACTACCGGGAAACGACAAGTCCATCACACTCCAGTATTTAGGTAAGTTTTTATGTATTTACTACTCTATGTTTTTAATGATTCATAGCATTTGAGTATTTGTTTTTTCATTTGTCTAATCAGTATTTGCCATGTGTAATATCATTAATTACACTCCTCTACTGTTGCTTCTCCAAGAATGGTTCCTTTCCTTTTTGTCAAGTTGCTTAAGAACAGCAGCTATCACTAGTTTCTACGTGGCACACTGTGTTAATCGCCCTATGAATTTGAGTAATTACTACTCTCAGTTTTAATTTGTTTGTCTCACTTTCATTTTTAGTCGTTTTAAAAGAGAATTATGTGTTTTCTTTTTTGGTGATTTCATTTTTTCATGTAATATGTTCAAGATTACATTTTACATATCTTTAATTTAAGACTACAAGATTTAATTTATTTTCTTACAATTTCAAGTCAAGTTAAAATGAGACAAACAAATTAAAATAGATGGAGCATATGAATACTCCAATCGCTTGCATCAATAAGGATAAATGAGGGACCTAAAACACAACCAACCATAAATTTACAATGAAATCGGACTTGGAGTCTGGCCAACTGATCATTCCACATCACCATGAGCCTATCTCTATGAGTTGCCTTTACCCCAGGCAAGGCACCTTTGTCTGTTCTGATAACATGTTGAAGTCTGGACCATCTTATTTAAAAGTTTAAGATGTTAGAGAGAACACATTTAATTGTATACTCAACTCTATCAACTAAGCCTCTGTTTTATTCAGGTTCTTGGACAAAGCGGCAATGAAACAAGACAATGATACAGGGTCAAGGCTACCATGTACAGTGACTCAAGTGGAAGGAGCGAAATTGATCACAGGAATGGCCATGATATGGCTAGTAACCTTAATTCCTAGCACCATTTGGGCACAAATAAACACTCTGTTTGTCAAACAAGGCACCACTTTGGACAGACACTTGGGTTCAACATTTCAGATTCCAGCAGCATCATTAGGAAGCTTTGTGACTCTAACTATGCTATTATCTGTGCCAATGTACGATCGATATTTCGTGCCATTTATGCGCAAGAAAACAGGAAATCCAAGAGGAATCACATTACTCCAGAGGCTAGGAACAGGGTTCTTCATTCAAATTCTAGCCATCACGTTTGCTTACGTGGTGGAAGTAAGAAGAATGCACGTCATTAATATGCATCACATCAACGGGCCTAAAGAAATAGTCCCTATGACAATATTTTGTTTGTTGCCTCAGTATGTGCTATTGGGTGTTGCTGATGTGTTTAATGCCATAGGGTTACTGGAATTTTTCTATGATCAGTCACCAGAAGATATGCAAAGCCTCGGAACGACGTTTTTCACTAGTGGAATTGGGCTTGGAAATTTCTTGAATAGCTTTTTGGTGACTATGGTTGATAAAATTACAGGGAGTAATGGAGGGAAGAGCTGGATTGGAAACAATATGAATGACTCACACTTGGATTACTATTATGCTTTCCTCTTGGTCATGTCTGCCTTAAATTTGGGAGTTTTTCTGTGGGCATCCAATAGATATATCTATAAAAGGGAATCCAGGGAAATGAAGGATGAATTTCCAGAGTTGGAAGGCAAAGCCATAGACCTTCTTCCTTAGATTTGGAAGATTATTTAAGGATTAAATTTAGGATTAATCTCCATCTGTTTTTAACTCCCTGTTGTATAAGTCAATTACATACCATAGCTAATTAATATAGTGATTTTTGCATGGTATGGCATGTTTAAATAGTTATAACATAAATAAAAAAGCTTTAAGAATCTCATCTCCTCCACCCCTCCCAATTTTTCATATTGTGATTTAATTAGCATCTTGATACCGCCGTTTGGTGTGATGGATAAAATAAGTTAATCCTGGTAACTTTTAGTAGCCTTTAATTCATTGTTTGATTGCAAAGGTAGGAATAACTTATCTCGGGATTAACAATTAATCTTGCGATAAGTTATCCCTCACTTGGAGTGGTATAGTAATCCTAGGATAAGTTATCTTGGGATAAAGTGTGTAAATTAACAAAAATACCCTCTTAAACTCTCTTTTATACACCACTTTTACATTCATACATATTAACATAATTTTTAACAACATAATAACATTCACAATCTTAATTATTCGTTGTTTTTATGATAAATATATTTTTCTATTAAAAATTTACATTTTATAAATACAATTTTTATTTATGAATATTGTTGACACCCAATTTTGGCCTAACATTTTCAAAATTCGTAACTTTTAAAGTTTATTTATTTAATAGTTCAAAATAATTTTTTTATAATTTTAAATAAGTTTATCGATAACTATCCTTATTTATCAAAATTTATGATTTTTTATCAGTTAATTTTAAAATTGTATTTTTACATGTCATTAGTTACGTTCATTATATTTTTTTTAATATTAATTTTTATTTGTTACATTTGTTAATATTCATTTTGATATTTTGCACAGTCTAGAAATTTATCAAATCCAAATAAAATTTGTATACACAAATTGATCGATGATTTTGGACCGCAATCCCAAGCTCATAATTTGAGTCTATTGCATAATTATTTTCCTATTTAAGTTTTACTAGGTCAAAAAATAAGTGGGGAAAAGTTGGAAAATAAGGGGGAAAAATTCAGATTTTAGCAATTAAAAGGTAAAGAAAAAAAAGAAAAATTTTGGTCTTCCAAAAAATGGCCTTCAAAGACTGTCTTCTCCGGCTAATGAACTGCCGGAACGAGCAGCCAACACCCACCACAAACGACCCTGCTTCTCCATTTTTTATATTTTTTTCAGACCCCAACGACCCTCTTCTCTTCGCCGGAACGAACCGCCTTGCTAGACCTCAAACTCCGGCGGGACTCAAAGACGAAACAACCAGCAAAACGCCGACCTCCGTAGCTCCGGCAAACAAGTAATTCTCTATATTTTATTTTTGTCGTAACTATCTTACTTCGTTCATTATTTTTCCAGATCTGGCCGGAGTTTGATTAAGTTTGTCTTCTCCGATTAGTTGTGTTGATATTATACCGTGTTATTTTGCTTTGATTGTTTATTCACAGCTATTGATTTGCTGTTTGTTTTGATTCTTACAGTGACTATGCTTTGATTTTTTTTATTTAAATTAAATGTTTAATGGTTAAAGAATTTTTTCAATTGTGATTTCATTCCCAACTTATGGATCTTTTATTAGGATAGTTCCTCTCATTATTTTATATTGTTAATTCTTTATAACCTTATTCATTTGTTGACATCGAGTTATTTGTTTTAGTGTTAGTTTTGTCCTTATTATGATTATTTTATTGATTGTTCATTTGTTCCTTATGCTTATCTTATTTTTGATTGTTGTTTACTCTATTAATTTAATAATTTAAATTAGATTTGTTATATTTTGTTGGATTTAATGTTATTATTAACAATGGTGTTGCCTTCGGTAAATTTTATACTTTTTATGTTACTGTTACTTTTGTTAATGTTAAGATAATTTTTTGTCATTTATTATTATTTTTAATTGATATTGAATAGACTTTATTTGTTAAAATTGGCTAATGAAATAATCTCTGACGATTTTGGAGGCCTCCACATTGTAAAAGACGAAAATTTAGTTTAAGCTCGTATATATTTTGTATGTTAAAATTGACCAATGAAAAAATTACCGTCGATTTTCAAGGCATTCTATGTTAATAAGACGGAGTTTATTTTTAAGTTATTGTTTGAGTTATTCATATTTATTTGGCGAAATGGTCTGGTGGACCCTTGTATTTGTATCTATTTGTATTCTGGACCTTTCTACTTACCATTTTGTCATCTGGACCCCTGAACCCATCCAGACACAACATTTTAAACACAATTTTTAATGTGGCATCCTATGTGGAAAGACTCCACATGGAGCATGTGATATACACAAAACAAGAGCGTGAGACATCTTAAAAAGACAGTAACAGTCAGATTTTTACCTTTAAAGACCATCTCTTCTTTATTTTCACTCAATACCATTGTTGGACAAATTTGAGCTTTTTTCTTGTCTTTTTCTCGATCTTGTCTCTTCAAATTTCTTCTCTTTTATTTTTTCCTTCGATTTACTCATCTTTTTTTTGTGTGTGTGATTCTATTGTATTTTTGTTGGTCTCCACGATGACAGCTCGATGTAATCAACCTAATCTTGACAAAAGTATTTAGCTAATGTCATGACTCAAATAAGACTAATATAAATTACGTGATGACAATTTTACCATTTCTTCAAAGCCTTGATTAAACCCTATTTTACCAAAAAAAAAAATACTAGAAAAAGAAAGTAGCAAAAAAAAGAAAACAAGAATGGTCAGTGCCTCCTTTCTTCATCCGTCAAAGATTCAATTTTTTTCATCATTTCAATATCTTATTCTTCCATAGTTTCTCTCTCTACACCTCTGTTTCCATAAAAATATATAAATTTATCTGAATTTCTTCTTCTTTTTGTTCTTCATTTCCATATATACACCGTCTCTCTGTATATCTGCAAAAAAAAAAAAAAAAGAATATCAAAAAATCAAAAAAATAATTATAGTACAATCATTTTCCAGGCAAAGAGAGAAAAGGGGAGGTCCAAAATATGCAATCTTGGAACCCCATTACTCCAATTATTCACTTCCTTTTTGGTGTACCTTTTTTTCATATTTGGCCAGCTTTGCATAACCCTTTTTTCTTTTGTGTTTTGAATACCCTTTTGATTTTTCTTCTCTGTGGAGGGAGAGTTTTGCTACATAGATCTCTCTGTAGAGAAGGAATATGTGTGTTTTCTCAATCATTTTGAGGGTTTTTGATCATTTGGGGTTTTTTGATTGTCCTTGCCCAGATCTTGTTTTTGTGAATTGATGTGATGTGTTTATTTTGGTCTAATTGTTTTGTTGTTGTTGTTTTTGAATAATCTGATGATTAAAGATCTTCAAGGTTTTTTGGAAACAATGACTATTCTTTTAGTACGTATGTGGAATATAATATTCATACGTGGATTAAAATTTTATTTTTTTTGCCAACGTGTACGTGTTTGTGCAACACGCATCATACCACATCAAAAATTGTGTTTAAAATATTTTGTTTGGATGGGTTCAGGGGTCTAGATGACAAAAGGGTAAGTAGAAGGGTCCAGAATACAAACAGATACAAGTACAAGGGTTCATCAGACCATTTCGCCTATTTATTTAGTACTAATACTTTTATTAAGCGTCTTTGCAGGTACACGGAGTTGCTTCCCATTGAAGCTATTTGAACGGAGTTTGAATTATAATTTTGTATATATTGATGTTAGACAAATTTTAGGCCGTGTCTTATATTATTGGGTGTATACACTATTTCTGCAGGCTCTCATTAAAAAATAGGGCAGGTTTGGGCCAAAGCCCAGATTAATCCGTAGCAGTTGTTAGGCTCAAAATCAGCTCAAGCGGACAGACTTTTGATTTTGAGCCCAATAGGCCCATTTTTTGGTATTTTTGATAATCTGGAAATTTTACTATTATTGAATATTTGATATATTTTTTGTCTACTAATTCTAATCCTTTTATTTGATTTGGTTTAACTTAATTGAATTCCCCAAAAGTCGAACTATATTCTTTATGTTAGTTTATTTTAATAAAATTTATTTTATCAACTCTTATATTTTTATTGAATAACTTTAGTCAAAAAAATTTATTTATTTTTCATTTAATTTAAAATAATTTTCATACTTTTAACTAATCAAATCGGTGTAAATTATTATTAAAATGATTCAAATAAATCCAATTTTATTAAAATTTTAATCACTTGTAATTAATTTCAAATATTCTAATTAGGGTCCCTTTTTTCTTAAAAAATAAAAATTGTTCTTTTAACTATTTTCTCAAAGTTAATCAAATATTGTAAATTATTATTGTTTATGTTAAATTTTTTTTAAAAAAAAAATAGACAAAATATATATTAACCAAGTCGTAGGATAACTGCGTGTTAGCGGGCGCTTCAAATGCCTTAAAAACGTTCTTGAAGCGTAAATAAGAATTTCTTACCTATTTTCTCTAAATTTTTAAAGACTTAATCTGTTAGATTCTTTTTAAATTAAGTTTTCTTAATTTCTTTAAAAAATTAAGTGGTGACTCATTTCTAAGTATTTTTCTGAAATTGTATTATACGTAGAATGTTTCTAAAAGTGATTTTTCTAAAGGTTAGTAAAATTACGGTATAACAAATATATTATAAGTTGAATTTATTTGTGTAATTATTATGTTTATTTATATTTTGATTTCTCATAAAATGTCACTCCACTACTAAATTACATATTTTTCATTAAATAGTTTATTACTCACTTAATAATTATATTTTATCTATAATTAAAATGTAGATAACTTTAATAATAATTTTTTTTTTTTACTTTAATAAACTTAAAATGAAAGTTTTATTTTTAAGCTAAATAAGACGAAAGTTTTATTTTTAAACTAAATAAGATGAAAGTTTTATTTTTAAGCTAAATAAGATCAAAATCTTATTTTAAGCTAAATAAGATGAACATTTTATTTTTAAGCTAGATAAGATGAAAGTTTAATTTTTAAGTTAAATAAGATGAACGTTTAAATTTTAAAACATACGGCACAATCATGAAAATGCACACACAAAAATATTTAAGCTAAATAAGATGAAATTTTT